GGAAGTGGTCCCTGGCTTCAGAGAGTCCCCAGGCCCTTTATAGTTGTTCTTAATGGACACATCTGATATTTTAAGACAAGAGCTGGAGAGCTATAAGCAAAGGTTATGTGGATACAGAGGGCAGAACAATTACTCCCAGTTAGAAGGAGGTGATATTTGAGCTAAGACTAAGAGATAAGGAAGATTACAGTGAGAGAATGAATAAATAAATGGATGAATCCCTCAGGGAAATGAACAGTTTCTGTTGTTTTTATGGTGCAAGAGGAAAAGGATTGGACGTGGAGACTGTACTGGCAGGGGCTGCCGTTAGCCCTGTGCCTTCAGGCAAATCACTTCCCTTTCTATACTTCAGTTTATCCATCTGTAAAATTGGAATAATAACCATTCATTTCCCAGGATTTGTTTTAAGAATTAAATAAAATCATGTCCGGAAAAGTGCTTTGTGTAAAATGCTAAATGTCGTAAAGATGTTAGGTTTAATGATGCTTCCTAACTCCTTAATTGTATAGCGTACCTTAAGAATTGAATGAGATGAAGAATTTAGAGCGTACTCTGTGGCACGCATTATTCTAGGTACTTTCTGGGTACGATTCAACCATTTACTGTCCCAACAGTCCTATAATGTCGGTGTCATTACTATGGCCATTCCATAAATGTGGAAAAGAAGGTACAGAATGCTTTTCCGTGGTCTTGCCGACCATTTTACAGCTATCAAATCTCAGGGCCAGATTCAAACTCAGGTGGTACCTGAGGGCACCTGATGAGAGAGACTAAAGATAGAAAAAGATGTCCTCGGCCTGGCCCAGTTATTCTACACAAAAACATCAGCTGAGATTGGACGGATATGACAAGGTGACTCTCCTTTGACCGGCAGAGATCAAGACCCCTCTTCTTCACTCCCAACACCAGATAAGTTGAACATGTGACTAATCATAAGAAACACAGAGCTTGGATTTTCTCCCCCAAAATATTCTCTGTCCTTTACTAAACACTGATTAGATGAAAAACTAAGGCACAAAAATTACAGAGATTTCACACAGCCTTTTTAAAAAGTGGGATAGGTGAGCCTTGTCCTAGTGAAAGCCAACCTGACAAGGTCATTGTTAATGATACAAAACCAACAGCTGGATGATAAATCAGAAAAATGAGGCCCAACATTCACTCAAATCAAGCGGCATTTATCTGTAGTTTAAAGGGCTCCCTAACGTTTGCATTTCATTGGTGTGAGCGTTCCAACAGAACCCTAAAGCGATTATATAGAACATCGAGGCTTTTGAAGAGGTTCTAACTTAGCAAGCCATGGTAATTTAAAAGGGAACGGATGAACTGCTAGAAGCAAGGAGCTTTCTGGTGAAGAATACAAATGTGTTCTGGGCTATTGCTTCTGCCTGTTCCTGGGGAAAGGCAAAATGCACACGGGAATGTGATGGAACTTTCCAGCTGGTGGTTTTGCATTATCAGGAAGGAAAGTGTTTGTGAAAATGAAAATTACTGATAATTAGCTGTGAATGCCTGCATGGGAGGAGAATGGAGAACACTGCAGCATCTTGCTTTATATCAAGGGCTGACCCTCATGGGCGGCAGTGAGTATTGGTACAACACTTCGGAGAGGACTGTAGCAAAGCACTGACACTTTGACCCAGCAATTCCACTTCCAAGAATCTACTTTATAGTAATATTTGCACACGTACACAAAGGTCTGTGTTTGAGGATGTTCACTGTAGCATTGTCTGCATGTTTGAAAAATGGAAATAAGCTATATCTGTTGGTATGAAAATGTTTCAACAAACGATGGCATATCCATAGTTTTAAAAAATTTGCTACTAGTGAATGGGATGACATAGATCTATATATGTGACACAGAAGATGTCCCCAATATATTAAGTGAAAAGAGCACATTGCAGAGTAGTATCTGTCATATGATTCCATTTAAAAATGTTTTTAATTTGGGGCACCTGGATGACTCAGTCGGTTGAGTGTCCAACTTCAGATCAGGTACTGATCTCACAGTTCGTGAGTTCAGCCCCATGTCGGACTCTGTGCCGACAGCTCAGAGCCTGAAGCCTGCTTTGGATTCTGTGTCTCCCTCTCTGCTCCTCCCCAACTCATGCTGTCTCTCTCTCTCTCTCTCTCTCTCTCTCCCTCAGAAATAAAATAAATATGAAAAAATTTGAAATGTTTTTAATGTTAACATGTGTGTAGAAAAATATCTAGAGGAATATGTACCAAAGACTATCAGTGGCTATTTCTGAGGGATGGTATACATATATTTGTAATGTTTACATTTTTATGAGCATAGATTGCTTTTGCAAGGGTGGGGGGGGAATACAAAACAAAGTTGAATTATTTCCTCAAGGGAAGATTGAAAGAAACACAGCTGGTGGATATTTATTCACTGTATTTGGGTGAAAGGTATTAGTGTGATTCTGCAGTGAGTACCTCTCAGATTCTGCCAATCTGGGCAACGGTGCTATTTAGTCCAAATGAACCAAAATGACTGTGCTCACACTGGGAGCCTGAGTCGCGCTGTGTCTCCCTTCCCCTGCCCTTATTCTGGTCTCTAGGTTGTACCTCTGGCTCTTGCTGCTGCTCAAAACCTTGGCTGACACATTTCCCTTTTCCTTCTCTTGCCTCACAGGTTGGCCATTTTTTTTAATTATAAATTTTTTGAATGTTTTATTTATTTTTGAGAGAGAGAGAGAGAGAGTCAGAGAAAGGAGGAGACACAGAATCCAAAGACAGGGTCCAGCTCTGAGCTGTCAGCTCAGAGCCCCACGCGGGGCTTGAACCCACGAACTGTGATATCATGACCTGAGCTGAAGCCCGACGTTCAACTGACTGAGCCACCCAAGTGCCCCAAGTTTGGCTGTTTTAGAAGGTACTAAAATATGGTGGTAAACAGGTTGGCCTTTGGAGTTCCAGAGCGTTGGGTTCAAATCCCAACTTCGCCACTCTCCTAAGTACGTGACTTTGAGAAATTTGTTTCTCCTGTCAGGCTGTCTGTTTCCTCATGTGAAAAATGAGTTTAGAGAACCTGTCTGATGGGGTCTTTGGAATGATGAAAAGAGATAAGTAGAGAAAGCGCTTGGGAGTTTATCTTGATGAGTAATATTTGGACCTGTTATGTCACTATAATGAATGCCTGAATCAAATGTAACACTGAATAGGAACTAGCATGAAATTAAATTTTCCAAAAATTAAAATTAAAAAATTTAAATTTTTCTAAGAAGCGCTTGGGAATGGTAAATACATAAACAAACATTACCTGTAATTATTGTCACCATGGCCTATCAATCTCTTTGTAAAATGTCTTCTCATCGGTCTTCTGCCTAATAAACTCCTACCCATTCTTCAAGCCCCCGGTCAGATGCTCACCACTCCTCTGCTCTCTCCCCCACAGACCCAGAACTGATTAGCACTCCCTCATCAGAGGTCCTGCAGGGTGCTGGGTGCCCAGGCTTCATTACTGCTGGTTACATTCTGGGTTTGCTCATCCCTCTCCTTTATAGACCCCGAGGCATCAGCCCTGCAAGGCATCAACCCTGTTCAAATCATCTCAGATCCTCAGCACTTACCTCAGTGCTGTGCCCAGAGTTTGAGTTCACATAATTACCTTTCAAATTAAATCAATCCCATCCCTGCCTCTATCATCCCAGGCCAGGCATCTTTAGTTCCCGGTGAAACTATGGTAACAGCATCCTCACTGCTCTCCCTCCTCCTTCTTACCCGATTCCAATCTAAACTAACATTCAGCCCTGGGTTTCAGCTCCCTTTTGCCACAGGCTAATGTGATCCTAAGCACATTGCTTTCTCTCTAAGAGTTAGCTTTCTCATCTGTAAAGCAGAGACAGTAACTTCCTCCCATCAGGTAGTAGAAGGAACTCACTGAAAACTGCACGTGAAAGGCATCCACATTACCTGAATTTACCTATTGCTACTTCTGCTTTTTGAAAGGCAGTGTACGTCAGGGCAGAAGAAAAGAGAATCTGAAAATCTGTGTCCTGGGAGTTAAAGTACATCCTGAATAGTCCTGTGATTTTTATTAAGTTTCTTTAGTTATACATAAACGGGCGAGCTCTCACCTGGGGTCCTATTTCCTCCAGAAATCGCATTTGATGTGTCTTCTGTGAGGTTAATCTCCAAGGCAAAGGGGCGAAGGCTCTTCATCACCCTTAGAATGAAATACAAACCTGAGAGCACATCGGTGTAGTCCTTCCATTCATGAACACTTTCATACCCATCACTGGATTTGAAAAGAGCTTTAATGGGGGGGGGGGGGGGGGGGGATCACAGCCAGATCTTAACAGTGATCATCGCTGGATGGTGGAAATGGACATGATTTTAATTTGACGTATGTTTTCCTAAGCCTTCAAAATCTTCAATTTTGGAGCTGGGTAGAGATGATGGTAACACAACATTATGAATGTACTGCCACTGAATCGCACATAAAGTGTACACTTTTATGTCAGTTGGGTGAATTGCACCTCATTAAAAATATTCTGCAATACACACGCACGATTTTATAGCCATTTGTTGAAATGTGTTTGAGGCGAGAACAAAAACGGATTCTTTTTTTTTTTTTTAATGATTTATTTATTTCTGAGAGAGAGAGAGACAGGCAGCATGAGCAGGGGAGGGTCAGAGAGAGAGGGAGATACAGCATCCGAAGCAGGCTCCAGGCTCTGAGCTGTCAGCACAGAGCCCGATGCGGGGCTCGAACCCACAAACCGTGAGATCATGACCTGAGCTCAAGTCAGACGCTTAACCGACTGAGCCACCCAGGCGCCCCCAAAAACGGATTCTTAAAGCTCAAAAGCAGTTCAGGCGGCTGACACTCTCCCGCACCCGTATTTCCGAGTCACTCGTCTAGGCGGCTGGCCTGCAGCGCGCTCCTCCGACCACCAGGGGTCTCCACGGAGCCCTCGCGTCCCCACCCGCGGAGGAGCGTCTTCTCTTGCGCCTTTGAAGCGCGTGCGCCGGCGAGAGGCGTGGTCGGGGTTGGCAGCTCGGCCCGCAAGCCCGCCGACCGCCTGTACCTCTGCCCTGCGCTGCTCCGACCAGGGCTGGGGCTGGCCCGTAGTCCCGAGTCCTCGCCTGTCCCTCCACTCCCCACCCCTGGCTGCAGCGCTCTGCTGTCTCGGCCGGTCCCCGACTTCCACCTCCCACGTTAACTGCCTGCTCCGGGATCTGCCCCCGACCCGCTGTCCTCTGCCGCGCCCGCCCCGCCGGGGGCCCTGTCCCTGAGCCCCGACCCCATGGCGCTGCAGGCGCTGCAGAGCTCGGGGGTGGCCTTCCGCAAGATCCTGTCTCACTTCCCCGAGGAGCTGAGCCTGGCTTTCGCCTACGGCTCCGGGGTGTACCGCCAGGTGGGGCCCAGTTCAGACCAGAAGGTGAGCCTGGCCCCGGGGCAGGCCCCACGCCGGGTTCGGCCTCTTCTCACGAGGTCCTTTCCACCTGGGACCCCTCCAGAGCCCTCACATATCAGGCAGCAAAGTACAAACCGCGGGAAAGTGTTCCTGGTTTAATGACCTCATGAGCTCAATTCTGAAGGATAAGTAGGAGCCCACTTATCTCCGGTCTAGAGCAGGAGATGCAATTATGCGGAGGGAAAAGCTGATGCAGAGGCAAGATGGAAGGAAGGAAATATTTACCTGGTGCTAATTCAGTGTACTTGGCCTCTGCTGAACATTGGGAGTTTTCTGAGACATGTAAAATGCTGATGCCTGGGTTCCGCTTGCAGAGATTCTGAGTTACTTGGTCGAGGGCTGAGACCTGGGCTCCAGAAAATTTAAAAACTGCCCTGCTGATTCTGATACGCAGCCAAATTGAGAGTCACATCTTTTGCAGTGGGGAAAAAAAAATGCAAAGATCCTCCTGACTTCAGGAAGCTGAAGGGTCAGGGCAGACGCGGGGAAGTTATCAGGAAAAGTTAGTGAGTGACCAGTATATTTCCGATGCTCAGATTATGTAACAAGAGTCAGTTTAGGACTAGGAGTTGTTACACTTCAAAGTTGGCTGAGCGCAGCAGCCGTGAGGATACAGTGTTCCTTGTGTCGCCGATTTTTTTTTCCTGTAAATAAAGTGAAAACAGTTTGCTTCCTAGGTGGAGAGGAGATTCAAGACCTAGCAGAGGAGTGGCAGGCAAATGTTTTCATTTAAACGAGGCCATTAATGACTTCTTCTGCTAAGGCTTTAGAGCTTTTGCTGAATTAACGTAAAAGGAGCTAGAGTCTAAATAGAGATATTCTCCCGTGAACTTGGAGTTTTACCTGCTGTAGTTCATGCACAGGCTAATAATTCATTGTCGTCTTTCATAAACTAAGGAAAAAAGTGTGCAGATTGTGGCAGGGCCCATCTTGGATTTGGACACCCGACTGTAATGTATCCTTAGGTTAAAGTTTGCCTGTTCACTTCCTGGTGGAGCCGTCGATACTGTCGCTTGGACTTCCTTTTTCCCACCTATACTGTATTTAAGTAATACTTTGCTTTAAATTGACAATACGTAAAAAAAAAAATTTATAGATGGTAGGTATGTAAGAAATTCTATAGACTTATAGAATGGTTATTTTTTCTAACCCACATTAATATAATTATACATTTTTTTAAAACATGTCCACCCCAAATCTTTCACCAGTGGTTTGTGGATTACGTTTTGAGAAACCTAGAGCAGGTCTTGGCCTCCTGATTTGCCACATACCTCTTCATTTTTCCATGATTTTCCTTTGAGTAGACCTGGAATTTCCTCCAAGAACAGGCCCTTTTTTTCCTTTCCCTCACCCTCATTGCCTACAAGATAACAAGTCTTATAGATTCCAATAGGAAGTCTCAGATCAGTCCTTCCCCTCCGTGTCTGACTTTGTATCTTTTTCATTTCTCACCGGGAATTTTGCAGCTAGCCTCCTGTGTGGTTTCCCGGCCTGTAGTCTTTCTTCCCTCCAGTGAGCTCTTCTGTAGGAAAATTCTTTCCCCTGGCAACCAGCCTCCCGCTCTGGTCTCAGCTCGTGTTCTCTTCCAGCCACATCAAACTCGATGCAGCATCGAGAAAGCCTGTCCAGCTCTCATATCTACAAGAATGTTTTCCTTTAACAGGACTCCCTTCCCTTCCCCATCCTTCTAATACTTCCACCATGCACATTCTTCAAGGCTCCAATTTATCAGAGTCTTGAAGAATGTAATTTTATAGCAAGATTTCTCCTCCCTGTTCTGACCCCATTCTGAGTGAAATTAGTACACTTTGCATTCCTCTGTCAAGTTCATTTCGTGATCATTTGTCTTTTCTCCCCCAATAGACTTTTTAAAATCTCCACCCCAAGATCTATCAGAGCTCCTTGTAGGTGCTCAGTGAGTGGTTGGCGAATGGGTAAGAATTAAAATAGCATATTTCCCTTCCTATAATATTTTACAGAGCTTTTCCATACTGTGTTATTTGATCTGGAAGAAGAGCAGAACACATTTAGATGAAAGGCCATGTGGCATAAGGTTCACTACCTAGAATTTGTACCAGACTGTGTCTTCCACTAGCTGGCTTTGTGTCCAGGGCACAGAGCTTACTCCGTGCCTTGGTTTCTTTTTTTCTGAAGTTGGGGCAATAACAGCATCTATCTTGTAAGATTGTTTTGAGGATAGAATGAATTATGGTACTACGTATAATATAAAGGATCTGGAAAAGTGCTGGCAGGAAAGTACATGAGGAAACACTGCTGTTACTATGCATATTGATGAAAACAAGCTCAGAGGGGTTCTGGAGACTTGCTTACGTTTTCCCTGACAGCCTCAGATCTTCTATTTATTAATCACAATGCCATTGAATTTTAGAGCTTTCCACTCTATCTAGCTGCCTTTCTAGGAATTAAAACTAAAACCATTCTCTTCCTTCCCAGAATGCCATGCTGGACTTTGTGTTCGCAGTAGATGACCCCATTGCCTGGCATTCAAAGAACCTGAAAAAAAATTGGAACCATTACTCGTTCCTGAAAGTTTTGGGGCCCAAGTTTATCACCGCTGTCCAGAATAACTATGGTGCTGGCGTCTACTATAATACGCTGATCACGTGTGATGGAAGGGTAAGTGACTTCGGACCTTCGTTGTAAGTTGGGTGGTTATTAAATTAAATATTAGGCTACCAGCTGAATATACATGTTGTTGCAATCGGGAACGGGTCACATTCCTGCTGGGTAAATGCGGTTGAGGGTGACTGTCTTTAATTTTTACCTCCGGCCAGTGGCTCTCAAATTTTAGTGAGCCTCAGACCCCCTAGGGTGCCTCTCAGACATACAAATTAGGGTTCCCCATCTCCAGAGTTTCTGATTCAGTAGGTCTGGGGTGAGGTTTGAGAATTTGTATTTTTTCTTTTTAATTTTTTAATGTTCATTTTTGAGAGAGAGACAGACAGAGAGTGAGCGGGGAGGGTCAGAGAGAGAGGGAGACACAGAATCCAAAGAAGGCTCCAGGCTCTGGGCTGTCAGCACAGATCCTGACGAGGGGCTCTAACTCACAAACTGCAAGACCACGACCTGAGCCAAAGTCTGATGCTTAACTGGCTGAGCCCCCCCAGGTGTCCCTGTGTTTTTTCTATTGAGATATAATGATACAGCATTGTGTTAGTTTTAGGCGTACAGTGTGATAATTTGATGTGTGTGTATATTGCAAGATGATTGCCACAGTAAGTTGAGCTAAGGTTCATCACGACACGGTTACAATATTTTTTCTTAGGATGAGAACTGTTAAGATTACTCTCAAAGTAACAAGGATTTGCATTTCTAACAAGCTTCCAAATGACGGTGCTGCTGCTGGTCTGGAAAACACTTTGAGAAGCACGGGTTTGGTCGGTGGGAGGAGAAGGCGGGACCATTAAGGATGAGCGTGAAGATTAGTCTTCTGTATGTGCAGGGGCACGTACTCCCAGGAAGAGGTTGGAAGTGACAGGGAAGTCGGGAGACTGTGGTGCCATGTGACAGGACCTCTTGGTGCCGGCAGGCGGGTGGAACTGAGGAGGCGCCCGGCTCCCTGTTGCAGAGCAGATGCGACGCGCAGATCCCGGCAGAGTGCTGTCTGACATCGGGAGCCCTGCCTAACGGGCTTTCACGTGAAGGGGCGAAGGGGTCCGGTCTGGAGGAGAGCGGCCTGACGAGCAGAACCGCAGCCGGAGAGGACCAGTGCAGCGCTGCATCACATCCGTCCGAAAGATTAGCTGCGCTGCTGCTGACATGCAGCTTCCGCCGGCGCCCGTCCTGCTTCCACGTGCCAATGCATCATCTCGAAGGACCGCGTCGAAGTGCAGATTATGAATCAGTTTCCTGGAACGGAGCCCGGGATTCTGCATTTTCTGACAAGCTCCCAGGTGCTGCTGCTGCTGGTCAGTGGACCACACGCTGAAGGGCAGGAGGTTGGAGTACTGACCTCAGAAGGGTTTTGAAGACCTGTGTGAGCTGGGCAGGGGCGGGTCCGAGGACCGGGGATGTCTGCACAGCCTTCGGGGTGTTTACTTCTCTGGTTGAGGGTTCATCCTGCCCCGCCTGCAGTCTGCAGTTGAGAAGATGAAGGTTCAGAGAGTGGACATGGCTTTCCTAAGGTCATGCAACTCGTTAGTGACAGTTAGTGACTTCCAGCTGGGTGTTTCCATGATCTCAGCAGTGAGGTGCTGCAGCAAGAAGGGCTTTTTCTGCAGTGCTGAGGCCGGATCGGAGGGAAGATGGTTGCCCAGCGCAGCTTTCCACATCCGCTTTAGTCGTGCCAAACACAGAGCTTCGTTCTTCCTCCATAATTAGCATTATGCTGAGCCCATCTCTAATTAGCGGTTCCAAACAACATGACAAGCTCCAGTAACCAAACGTTGGGGCATAATTATATGCCAAAGAGGTTGTACTTTTTAATTGAAATGCCTTAGCTACTTTTTAGATATTTGTAGCTGGAGAAGGCTGTTTGGATACTGAAGTTCAGCAAAGTGAGTCCGAAGTGATTCGTTGAAGCCAATAGGATTTTGTGACCTGCAACAACTACATTTAGGGTTTCTACAGATTGCTTTTGAAATGAGCTGGGCCGTAATTCCACGTGTTCAGCCCTGATAAAGAGGTTTCATTTTTGGAGATGTGGCTTTGTAATCCCAAATGTGTCTGACATTGTCAGTAGTAAAAGAGAAATTCACCATGTAGAGGATGTTCGTGAAAACTTCTAAAGAAAATGTCTTGGATTTTGCGATGAAATGAACGTCGGAAGCCCACACTGAAATTCAGGGACCTAGTTTTTACACTGCTGCCATGGTTACGCCATTTATTAGGTTTCTTATTTCTCAGATGAGAAATAGGAACTATATCTTCGCTTCTTAAACTGTGATACAGACTCAGCTTTTATTTCCAATCCAGGCAGGACCAATATGTGCTAGATTCCCCATAAGACCCATTGTGCCTTTAACGTCACAAGACCCTGAGTAAAGATAGTGGTCACTTTACCTCCCATCCCTGAGGGGCCAGATCAGTCTTGGAAACCAATCCTTTGTGACAGATTTTGTGTTATTCACCAGGTAGATTTTAAATGGCTTTGGAAATCTAGGTGCTACTCTGGTCAGAAATAGATTACCTTGTGTTTTGCATTTGCAAAAGCAATGGTATGGCGGTTTGCTCTCTTTCATGCCCATTTCTTTTCTTTTCTAGCTTATCAAATATGGGGTCATTAGCACTAGTATTTTGATTGAAGATCTCCTCAACTGGAATAACTTATACATTGCTGGACGACTCCAGAAACCGGTGAGCAAGTGTCTTATTGGCTGCCACAGTGAGTGATGTCTCTCCCCTCTGAACCTGACCCTGCTTTCGTCCTTGTGATTCCATTGAGATGGAGCTCCAAGAAACAGAAATGAGTTTCAGACCCCTTTTACTCACTATAGAATTCAGTGCCACACAATATCCAGGTATCACCCACACCGCTCCTGCCCACCTTCTAAAGAGACTCCAGTTGTCCGAATGCATCAGCCTCAGAGGCAGTAGCTGTAGATGGCATGACTTCTAGAGGCAGAAGAGGTGCTCCGTGCCTCAGCGGAGCCTCTGTGAGCAGGACGCAGATCACCAGTCCAGGACGTAAGTGCCACAGTGTTTGTCCACTGATGTGTCCCAGCGGTGCCTGGCACGCTGCCTGGCACACACAGTAAGCATTCAGCAGCCATTTGTCGAAGAAACCAGGTAGTCTTTCCGAGGGGAGTAGAGTCCAATCCCCTTTCTTACTCTCCTCAGGCCAGTGGTGAGATCCTGTCGTCTAGTCCTTCCCACATTTGGGATTCTGCTAAAGGAGGCAATGGGGAGTAGGCTTCCCCTTGGGCACAGGAAAAAAATGGAAAGGACTTGAACTACTGACATGTGTTTACATATTACATTTCTTCTTTTTTGCAGATATGTAGCCTATTTTCTATGAAGGAGTCTTCTCGTAGTTTAAGAACCGTGTGAAATAGTCACAGTTGCTAATGTCACAGCCAGGAACAATTTTTGTGCTGCTAGAGGGTCTCAGGCTCCACAACAGGGTACATAGATTGTTCTCACATGTCTCCCATAAGAGTGACTCTGCTGCTCCCCTTTTTGTCAGTTATGGCAAAAATTAAAGATTTACACAACCTCAGCTCACTTGGTTGTATCGTAAGAGTCTTGATCTACACAGGCAGTCACAATTCCCTTGCCTTTTGCTTCTGAGCTTGGAGTTTAATGGTGTAGCTCATTGGAACATCCAGAAACCCTTTATCAGGGCAAAAGTTACATGGGTATGTCCATATATAAACATTTGCCAAGCTGTTCCCTTTAGACTCATGCATTTCACTAAAAACATTCTTTTTAAGTCCAGAAGCAATAGGCTTCCTGAAATAACTTCATATTTATGTTGATGAATTTCTCATTTCTAAGCTGGACAATTAGTAAGGATAATCCAGTAAAGCTGGGTAATCCGTAAAATAATTGAACAGATAGATGTAGTTGAAAATTTGTAAATGTTTGTTTTCTTTCCAAGTTTTTTTTTTTTTTTTTTTAATTTTCAAAATATATAGCCTGATGGAAAGAGTAATGAAAGTGGAATTAGACGCCTTGGGCCTTATTCATTCCTGCCCCTTACTAGATGTGGACTTGAGACACTTGTTTGATTTTTTTGAACCTCTGGTGATTTACCCGTAGGACGGAGTAACAATACAGTACTTTCCCTGTCTACCTCACAAAGGCTTTGACAAGTGGAAGCAGAATGGAAGTGCTGGAAAGAGCCAGGAGTATTTTAGACTCAGGTCTAGGGCTTCGATCCCAGCTCTGACACTCCCCAGCTATGTGACCCTGCACCAGTGACTTAATTTCCCTGAGCCTTGGGACATCCTCATCTGTGGATGAGGCTGACAGACACCATCCTTAAAAGGCATTTGAGAAATGCCTAGATCTAAAATGCCCGGCACTTAGTAGATACTGAGGAAGTGGTCTTTCCTTTTTCTTTGTCCTTGCCTGTCTCAGTTATTTTGAGATACAGTGAGGTATTGAATGAGAAAATGTTGTATTGTGCTCTGTACAATGCTTTGTGCTTAGAATATTTCCATTAAAAAAAATAAGCTTTAGAAAATGAAACGCCATGAAATCTCAGAATTTAGGCACTGGAGATGACCTCAGATTTCATCTAAATGTCACATATCCTGGTAAAATAAAACCAACAACTCAAGACAAGTAGTAGCTGCTACACTCATCTTGATAAAGATGGCATTTCTCATCTACTTGAAAAAAAAATGTTATCGAGAATGATGACTGTTCTTCAGGCTTATTAAGTTTCTAACTCAAGAAAATTAGGCTATCTTGGGAATCATTTGAAAGTGTTGTACATAACACTTGGCAAAAAATAAAAGCATAAATTATAAACGGGCAAATTAACTTACACCCATTAACAGCTTCCCTATCACATAGAAATCACTGCTAACCGGAGAATTCTCGGTGAGAACTATCTTTAAACCAATGATTTGTACCAGTAGGTGGCAGCAAATGGTAATCAGACTTGAACAAATCTGCGAAAGAGAAAGGGTTGCTAGCATTGTGGACAAAAAAATAATTGAAGCTCTTAGAATTGTGAGAATATGAGTGCGAATTCTTTGCTTTTATGTATTTTCAAAGGAGGAGTTACATTTTCTAAAGCTCTAAAGTTATCTTCCATATTGCAAATAGAACAGAATTTCTCAACTCAAGTGTTTAAAAGGAATATACAGAGGGTGTGTGGGAATTCACTATACTTACCAGTCAGTTTTGCTATGACTCTAAAACTGCTCTAAAAAATAAACTTTATTAATAATAATAAAAAAAGAAATATAGGAGCACCTGAGTGGCTGAGTCAGTTGAGTGTCTGGCTCTTGATTTTGGCTCAGGTCATGATCTCAGAGTTGTGGGATTGAGTCCCACAGCAGGGTCTATGTTGAGCATGGAGCCTGCTTAAGATTCTCTCTCTCTCTCTCTCTCTCTCTCTCTGTCTCTGTCTCTGTCTCTGTCTCTGTCTCTCCCTCCCTCTCTCTCTGGCTCCCCCTTCTGGCTCCCTCTCCCTGGCTTGTGTGCTCCTGCTTGCTTGTTCTCTAAATAAATACATAAATAAATAAAGAAATATATGAAATATAAAAAGATGGACATTTCTGGAAAAAATTTAATGTGAATTAAATTTCTATCATACTTTACCATTAACTTACCTCGTAATTGAGAAGATGAGCTGTTTTTATTTCTAGTGCAGCTTTAAGTTTCTGAGTCATTTCCCAAGTCCTGTTTCTATGAAATATGAAATTTAAAGTATTTAACAGAATCTTCTGGCCAGTCCTATTTTAAGTCAAAAGAAGTTTAAAGTAAAATTAAGTAACTTCCCTAATTTATTTACCGTAAGTCTGGATTTTTGGGTATCTATGTATAGATAATTTGGCTTGTTTTAAATCATTCACATTGACGTACAATGGTATTTTGCTACCTTGCTAAGAGGATTTTAATTTATTTTAATGTATTCGTTGCAATATTTGTCTCTTATTTGCTAGTAACAGAGCTCTTTATAATGAATTATTGAGCTATAATTCACACATCATACAGTTCATCCATTTAAAGTGTATATAGTTCAGTGGTTTTTAGTATATTCATAGTTGTACAATTATCATCATATTGTAAATTTGTTGATTTGTTTTTTGCGGATAGAAAAATCCCAGTGGTATTAAAGATCCCTGAAAGAGAGTTGGAAAACCAGACTTACTGGTTTTGGCTCTGCCCAGCTGTGAGCGAATGTTTGCGTCCCTAGCCTTTGAAATGCAAAATTTGAGCCATTCATTTACTTATTCAAGAGACAACTAAGTTTTTTCCCTGTGGTTGCTAAAGGAATAAAAAAAAATAATAATACCATATTTTTGGCCCTGGAAAAGCCCACAGTTCAACAGGTATATAATAAGGTTTCAACTAGTTCCAATGTTCAGTGTTTCTTCTTAGTCCTCAAGCAGTAACCATTTAGAAAAATTCGCCTTTCTGGTCACTTGGGCTGGAAAACTTCTGTGGAAAGTGTCATTTGGTTGAGTATCTGAGCGCTAGGTAGAGCTGTGTTCTTTGTGACTATAACTTCACTTTTTACAATTCAAGGACTGTCTCCCTGTGACCGTATTATAGAGCAGCATGTGACTCTTTTTTTTTTCCTCTTTTGAAAGGTACTCACAAATCTCTCCGGAGTTGGGCTTTAGAAAGTCCCTTCAAGCGTTGCCCCTTCCTCTGTCCAGTAAAGACTTTCTCCTTGGCAGTGGAGCTAATGCTATCTGTGCAGTTCAGGTCGGGGCATTCCCAGTAAGATACAAACAGCTATTCACAAATCTGAGGGCTTTCTTTTTTTCCCAGGCCTCTCTGGCAGTGTCCCAAAAGTTCACTGGCTTTTCGCGCCGAACCACAAATAACAGTGCTGCCGAGCCAAGTCCCTAGGTCACCTTACACTGCAGAGCCCGACCAGCACAGGAGCGGTCTCCTGGATGGACAGTTTTCCTTTGAGGAAGGATGCCTTTATTTTTACTCTCTTAACCTTAAATAGCAAACAGGCTGCTTTTCTACAACCTAAGTAGAACAGCTCTCTTAGAGAACAAGTGTATTGCTTTGACTAAGAACATTTTTCCCAAAGTTACTCTTTGCATCTGTGATTGGTGAGCATCTCAGAATAACCTCTGTTTTCACTGAGTTTCTGTAAAAGCCGCCAGAAAGAGAGGATGAAGAGTTACTGAGCAGGACCTGGTGAATGAGAATGAAGAGCAGGGCTTTGGAAGTAAGCCTGTGTCACAGGGTTGTAGAAAGAGCTCTGGATAAATTGGGACCTACGTCCTCTCTTGGGGTGCTTCTCAAGGGGAAGTCTTTTAACCGTTTGGGCCTCAGTCTCCCCATTAGTAAGATGAGGAGGTTCTCCTTCTAGATCCATGACCCTATACAGAATACAAAGTTTGTGAAAGTTATTCAGGAATAAACATGAGCGTTATTATAGCACCCTGACATTTCTTTTAATCATCTTTCAAGATAAAAAATTAACCAGTACCCCCCCAAAAAAAAAAGTTAGCCAGAACAGATCCCTAACTGAATGCATGAGAATAATTCAAAATATTCAGAGCTGGATTTGCCAGCTGTAAGGGTGTTACCCTGATTTTTGCCATCGACTCATGATGCAACCTTGGGCAAGTCATGCTCCTGGGCTGCACCTTGGTTTTACTTTCTGCAGATGATTGCAATAATGCTAAACTCACCCAAGTGCCCAAAGGCTTAATTAAGGGCCATTAAGTGCCGTAATTACAAGGGAGGAGTTGGTAGTAGGGAATAAAGTGGCTTACCTACCGTTTGAGGGGTTTGGATGTTATAAATATTCCCTTAGAGACAAAGGTAGAGACAAAAGGTGAAAGATAGAAGTGAGGGTCTTAAGTTTATAAAATAGTTATGTTTTATAATATTGTTTTTCACACTTAAAAAAAGAAACTCTCTTTTGAGATAGACGTCCTTTTTCCTTGCCGTCCAGTAAAATTTCAGAGTTTCTCACAGTGTATGTCTTTTACGTGCCATCTTAATTTTTCTCAGAAGTCATCTTTCTTTGACAAATAAAAGGTGACTTAAGCCCTGTTTCCTAGAATGGGGGAAGACTTGGTGACAGCATTACATGGTGTGCAGAAAGTGAATACGTTTCACATACATGAGAGTCTTTATTAGGGGCTTTTAGACCCCTTCCTTGTTTCGGAAACCAGTCAGAAGCAGCCTGATGGCTTATGGATCATGCCTGGAGGGCAAATAGGCACAGCCACTCCAGGGAGCCAGTTGGCACTTGTGCTTCTGAGTATGTACTGGAGAGCAGTGGTTCTCCAAATGTGGCTCCTGGACCAGCAGCATTAACGTTCCTGGGAACTTGTTAGAAATGGACATTTTCAGGCCTGATGCAGGCCCACTGAATCAGAAACTCTGGGGATGGACCTAGTAATACGCATTTTAACAAGCTCTCCCAAGTGATCCTGGTGCTTGCTAACCGTGAGAACCTGTGGCTCAGAGAAGCTCTTGCATTGCACCCCAAGAAAGAGACAGAAGGAAGCTACGGGTCCATATGCAGTCTCTTATTAATCTAACCAACAACTTGATCAATTTGATTGTTATTAACCCCATTTTACTGATAAGGGATTAGGGCCATAGTCACAGAGCCAGTAAGAGGTGGAGCTGGGTCTTGAACACATTTTCTTGACTACAGCGCAGTCTTCAAAACAGAGAATCTCAGAGCAGACTGGACCAATTTGTAGTTTCATGGACTTAGGGGAAGTCAAAGAGAGTAGCTTCTGGTGTGTATTTAGGAGAAAAATCCTTTTTATTGATCAAAGCACTCACTCATTCACTAGTACATGTGATAGTTTACATTTGTCCCTTCATTCAGCCTTTGAAACAATTCTTCGGTGCACATTTATCTTCATTTTATAGATGAGGACTTAAGTTCAGAGAAGTTAAGTAATTTGCCCAAATTCACACAACTAGTAAATCCTTAGACCCGAGCCAGTACCTATCCCCCAAACCCATGCTAATTTTCTTTCCTTTTTCCTTAGTGAAGTTCAAAATCAGTTCAAAATAAAGCATGAAGTGCTTAGGTTATACATGGATAAGAACAAAGGTGAGTTCTAAACAAAGGAGTAAAATGCCTTTGTCTACCATGAAATTAAGTAAAGAACACTGAGAGTATAAAATTGTAAATACAAAATTTCCCGAAGGACAGTCATTCCTTTTATACGGACTTCTGTTTCAAAACCCATAGAGTTTATTCATTTAAGAAAAATATTTCTTTTCTTTCTTGTGTCATGATATCTTTGGTTTAGCATAAAATGCAAGCCTCTGGGATTGCTTATTAGAATAACAATTATTTCCGCCTCGACTGGCCTAATCTTCCAAGATCTTTAGGGCTAAGGGTTTGGGCCCCGTCCAGTGCATGTGTAAACCCGTAGCTTGAGCAATACGCTACTCCTGCAATTTTTCTTCCAAATGTTCTGCTTTTTTACAGGTGAAAATCATCGCAATGAATGAGAATGTTGCTCTTAGGTCAGCCCTCGATAAAAATCTGAAGAGCGCTGTGACCACGGCTTTCCTGATGCTCCCTGAAAGCTTTTCTGAAGAAGACCTCTTTATAGAGATTGCCGGACTCTCTTACTCAGGTTAGTGGATCTGCTGCTCACGTTTTCTGCAGGAAGATTTGTTGCGCAGACTAGCCTCGCACTCCTCACACTCCGCGGCCCCCTTCGTCCTGGGCCCTGTGGCTTCCTGTGCAGGTTACTTACCGCAGGAACCCCCCACGATGTGCCTCCTAGGTCTCTCCTCCTCCACATCTGCATATAGATCACCCCAGGGTCATCTTGCTGCTGCTATTACTGTTCGTTTTCATTTTGAAACAGTTTCAAACTGACAGGAGAGTTTCAGTGATAACACAAAAAACTCCCATCTACCCTTACCCCAGATTTGCCAATTTTAATGTTTCACCACATTTGTGTTCTCATTCTCTTTGTACCAGGGGTTTTCTGACTCTGGTGTGCCTCAGAAGCCCCTGGAAGGCTTGTGAAAACAGACTCGTGGGCTCCCTCGCACACAGCAGCTTTGGTAGGTCTGGGGGTGGAGCCTAAGGATTTGTATTTCTAGAAAGTGGATGATGCCATCGCACCTCCGCGGTTCCCACTTGGAAAACCACTGCTCTCTCTGTACCTGCAAATACTGTGTTCTGTATTCTTTTTTTCCAACTATTTGAGGGTAGGTTATTCATATCCTGTCCCCATCAGGCCAAATACTTCAATATATGTTTCCCAAGAACAAGGACATTCTCATACATAACCACAGTACGGTCACCAGATTCAGGAGGTTTATCACCGGTACAGCACTTATAGCAGATGACGATCCATAGTCCCTGTGTTATTGCTGGTCACAATGATGTCCTTTTTAGTGTCCCCAACTCCCCCCACCGCCTCAAGTACACGATCCAATCAAGGATCGTATTTATTAAGATGGCTTCTCTCTTTTATCTTTTAATCTGAAACACTTACTTAGTCTTCGCTTGTCTTACATGACGTTCACATTTTGAAGTCTCAGGCCAGTGATGTGTGTGCCCTATAAGCAGAGCTTTCTGTCTTCCAGGCCATCCATGGAGAGGCATCTGGAGATCATGTGTATATTCTGCTTCCTATCACACTTTCCCTCACAGACTGAGCATTCATTGATGGTTCTTGCTCGAACCAGTCTTTACTATGATGGTTACAAAGTGGTGACTTTCCAGCCCCACCTCTCCTCACCCCATTAAGGAAAAGCTTTCCCTTCTTCCCCATTCATTACTTTATTTATCAAATCTTAACGTCCTTCCCTTTCTCCTTAAACCAGTTGTGTTCCTCAGAGATGTCAAGGGCCCCTTCAGAGGGGAAGGGGAGAGCTGCGAAGATGAAGCCCCTGGCCCCTGACCCTAGCTGCAACCAGAGGGGAGCCCTCTTCCTGTTTGATGTAGTAAGGATCCACGTAAAACTTCATTTATAGAAAGAACTCTGCTACTTTTAAAATAGTTTCAAAACCACTGTCTTAAATAAATATCTTCTTTCCCAGCTTTTAAGTGTGAGTCAAGAAACTATGCTCAAAACACTGCAGAAGCAGTTTACACATTTACTGAATCCCTATACAGATAAGATTTCATGGAAATTTGAGGCTGAAAGAGACCATTAAGGTCTGTCCTTCAGTCTTTTTTTTCCCCCGAAAGGCCGCTAGCAGGACTACAGCTACACCTGCAATACTGGGCAGAAAGGAAGTGACGTAAGCTCAGTCTTGGTAGCTTCCCGCTCCACGTGGCAGTGGCCCTGCCTTTCAGCAGAAAGCGGAGGGGCAGAGGCGGTGCGGCCGGTAGCGGCATGAATGGGCCTGCATACAACGTGTGGGCAGAGGGGGCCACCTTATTAGGGTGAGGGCCTCCCCGTGCTCCCTTGTGAAGAAGGTTGGACCAGAACGTTTTATGAAGAGCTCACTTTGTGGGAGAACGATGCAGAGCCGATTTCTACTTTGCCCACACCGCTGCCTCTCTCCCATTCCCTCCCCCTGATCGACAGCAGCATAGCGGTAGCTGGAGCCTAGGAGCTCCCATACACTGTGAGCATTGACTAACGAAGTTTATCGAACGACATAACTGCCTGCACCTGTGAGCAGACTGTACTTTAGCGTTCAAGCTTCGACCAGGCGTCAGCCGACTTCTGCTTTGTCTCCTGGAGGGGCCGTGGTGTATCCTCCTGTATACTGTGACACAGGTACGGGGTGTTCAGTGAGTACTTGCTGACTCACAACAGTGTCACTCTCTGCTTTTGCTTCTTTCATAATGATTATGAAGGGCTGCTGGATGGCAGTGCCATACCAGACACAGATAGGTGAGTGCGTGTAGGTAGCTGAGCAGTAGGTGGGTCGGGGGAAGTTAGATACGTAGAAAAGTCGGTCATTTATTCCATCATTGAAACCTCACACAACAACCCTGTTCACAGCTATTTCTAGTGTGCCTTCCACGTGCCACACACTGCCCTGGGTCCTGGCTGTACCCTGGTGAGCATGACATGAGTGAGACTCCTCAGGGAGTTGCTGTTCTCTTAGGTAGAGCCAGGCAGTAAAGAAGCCGTATGGTCATTTCAGAGAACGGTAAGTGCAATGAAGAGAAGAAAATAAATCGGGACAAGGGCCGCCATTACCTTGGATCTGAGGTAGTGATGTCTGCGCTCAGGTCTCAAGTGGCAGGGAGCTTGCCCTGGACTCCTGGGAGAAGGGCCGAGAGACAGAGAGAGAGCTGCTTCCTACCAAGCATCCTCACCTTGGTGTGCCTGACTCGGCTTTCTCAGCTTCCGCTTTCTCCCATCTCTTACCTGGTCTCCTCTTGCTCTCTAACCATTATGTTATTTATTGCTTAGCCCAGATTTGGGTCTGAGAGTCTGCCCAAGGATCCCACATTACTCATTTCACTGAGGTTGGCTTCTTTTTACCGTAAAATGTAGGACACAACCTTGGTGCCTCTTCTCCAGAGGGAACTGAATCCAGCTCGGTGCAGTCCCTGGCTTAGGAGTGAGACGCTCCGCCAAGAGCACTTTATTCGGTTGTGTGGAGCTGGGGACATATTTTTCCAGCAGGACATTATGTGATGGTTGTTCCTAAGCCTGGACACAGTACACTCAATGGTCACCTCCTCCATAATATAATGGAATTAGCATGAAATTGTGAGGGTAGGGAAGGATCTAGGCCCTGCAGGTAGAACCTTTCTCAGGTATGAGACCTGCCTCAGGCCATGTGCTGAAAGGCAAGCTTTTCCTCTGGCCTTTCCTAGACTTCTGGGAACCTATCCTTGAACTGATTGGATTCTTTTTTTTTTTTTTTAATGTTTTTATCTATTTGTGTGTATGAGAGAGAGAGAGCGTGAGCAGGGGAGGGGCAAAGAGGGAGATACAGAATCCGAAGCAGCTCCAGGCTCTGAGCTGTCAGCACAGAGCCCGATGCGGGGCTCGAACCCACGAACCGTGAGATCATGACCTGAGCCGAAGTCGGATGCTGAACCGACTGAACCATCCAGTCGCCCTGAACTGATTGGATTCTAACCTCTGCAAACCATGTAACTCTCCCAAGCCCCCAGAATATTCCAAACTTCAAATTATCCACCAACCTCACTTTGATTTACAACGTTGACATTTATTTTGCACCATTTCCACGTGAGAGATAGTATGTTGTTCCTAACCTGCCCAGGTGGGCATTCCTTCTGGAAGGGGGCGGGGATGGGGAGACAGGAAATGTGTCTCTGTGAGTTACTGGGCAAGCTCCTGCCAGTAATTACGAGCAGAGACAAGGTCTGTCTGTATTACTAGTAGTAATAATAACCTCTTACGTTTTATATAGTATTTAAGGATCACTTTGCCTTGCGGGTCGGTATTGATGGCATGATTGTTGTAAATGATGGTGAGAAAGGAGTAGGTGGAAGATGAGAGGCTGCAAAATTGGGAAGGGGAAAGCTTTCTAATCCTTCAGTTATTCTTAGAAGTCAGCATTTAAGTAAACAGAAAAGGAAAACCAAATGAGCTTTAAAGGGTCACCTTGACCTTTCTCATGTAAGTACAAACTATTAAAGTGACTAATTTTACATAATGATCCTGGTTTAACATTTATCAAATGAATCAGCGTCCCATACCTCATGAAGAATTAAAGCTATAATTTCTGCTCTAAGGAACTTCACATTAATAAACACGCAGTCACGGTGAGTCAGTGATAGACTTAAAAACAACACGTAGAAAAGGCAGGGAGTGTGAAAGAACACGGCAAGTGCAGGGAAGAAGGAATAGATTGCTGTGACTGAAGTCCATGGCTCATAGCAAAAGAAAACAGCACTCATTATTATGTGCCAGGAACAACTCTCAATATTTTTGATTGAATAACTAGTTTAACCTTCACAGTAACCCATTCCTTTGATTGTGTGCTGATTTATTGCCCCATTTTAAGATGAGAAAACTGAGACCCAAATCTGTCTAAGGTCATTTGTCTGGTAGGTTAGTAGGTAGTGGAGCTATAAGTTTATTGTATTTTTAATTTTTTTGATGTGTATGTCTTGAGAGAGAGACCGAGCAGGGGAGGGCCAGAGAGAGAGAGAGAGAGAGAGAGAGAGAGAGAATCCCAAGCAGGCTCCACACTGTCAGTGCAGAGCCCAACATGGGGCTTGAACTCACATACCCTGAGATCATGACCTGAGCCAAAATCAAGAATTAGATGCTTAGGGGCGCCTGGGTGGCTGGGTCGGTTAAGAATCTGACTTCAACTCAGGTCATAATCTCACAGTTTGTGAGTTTGAGCCCCGCTTCGAGCTCTGTGCTGACAGCTCAGAGCCTGGAGCCTGTTTCAGATTCTGTGTCTCCCTCTCTCTCTCTGTGCCCCTCCCCTGTTCACACTCTGGCTCTCAAAAATAAATAAACACTAAAAAAAAAAAAAAATGGGTCAGATGCTTAACTGACTGAGCCACCCAGGCGCCCTTGGAGCTAGAATTTTAGCCCACCCTCTTCACCATTGAACTTCACTGCCTCTCGGGTATTTTGGAGAAGAGGTTCTTCCCTGGGCAGGCCAGGCCAGGCACTGGACACAAAGGCCAATGAAACTGGAATTTGACACCGTGTGCACCCCT